ACCATGTAGGATATTTCTGTAGTCAAAGATAGAAATGATGAGGCACAGACTACGATATATTTCATCCTGTTGACAAACAACATGAAGGAAAGTATATAGATCCAAGACAAATATTTTTGATGAAACTTATATGGTTTGTTAATGGATAAAATAGGAAAACTAGCCATTAGATATAATTAAAATATGAGTTTCACTAGGACAAGAGTTTTATCTAATTTATTTTCTTTACTGTTTACTCCCCAGCTGCATAAATGATACCTACCACATAACATATGTTCAATAAATATTTACTGCATTAAAAAAAAGAAAATCTCTAGGTTTTTCCTCAGAGAAATGAGGTGAAAGGCCATGCTGTTAACTAAAATCAGTAAGACTGAAGAAAAGCAAAATGAAGTAGGGGTGCAAATATTAGGAGTTCCATTTGGCTATTTTAAGTTTTATATGTCTTCTAGGAATAAATGTGGAGATGTAAAGGGAAAATTAAATATTTGAGCCTGGTCTTTAGGAAAGATTTCTGGCCTATTGAGAAAAATTGGGATGCCATCAAAATATAACAATGAACTTTATTGTAATTAATAATAAAAGGAATATTAAAGAGGCTCTGAAGGGCATTTTTAAAAAGATCTGATTATGGGGATATATAAAACATATTTGTTAATGGAAATATTTAATATCTTGAAGGAGTCACTTTTCCCTAAAATAATCTAAAATCTAAAACATTTTAACAATTTCAATAAAAACATCTAATATGTATTTTTATAGAACTTTGTAAGTGGATACTTAAAGTTACATAAAAGAGCAGAGCAGAACAGTAATACTTTAAAGAAAGAAACAAGGCACCTAAAATTGATTAGAAGATATCAAGATATAACCAAAAGTCACAATTAAGACTGTAACTCTCCCTGACACCAAAACCAAAGATATAATACATGCACACAAAAATTATAGGCTAATGCCATTGATGAACGTAGATGCAAAAATCCTCGACTAAACATTAGCAAACCAAATTTAACAATACATTAAAAGGATCATATACTGTGAGCAAGTAGGATTTATCTCAGGGATGAAAGATGGTTCAGTATTTTCAAACAATCAATGTGATATACCACATTAACAAACTCAACAGTAAAAATCATATGATCATCTCAATAGATGTAGCATAATTTTTGACAAAATTCAACATTCATGATTTAAAAAATCCAAAAAAGTGGGTATAGATGCAATATACCTCAAAATAATAAAGGCCATATATGAAAAACTCACAGTCAACAATGTATGAAAAGCTAAAAACATTTCCTCTAAGATCAAGAATAAGGATACACACTCTTGCCATTTTTATTAAACATAGTTTGGAAGTAATAGACACAGCATTCAGACAGGAAAAAGAAATGAAAGGAGTCTAAATTTTAAGGCAAGAAGTAAAACTGCCATAGTTCACAGACAATAAGATCCAGTATATGGAGAATCCTAAAGATGCTACAAAAAATTAACTCATCAGTGAATTCAATAAAGTTTCAGGATATAAAATTAATATACATAAATCAGTTGTGCTTCTATGCACTAACAGCAAACTAGAAAGAGAAATTAAGAAGATAATCCAATTTATGATTGCATGACAAAGTATAAAATATTTAGAAATAAATCTAAGGAGATAAGACTCTTATTGGGAAAACTACAAAATACTGATAAAGGAATTGTAGGAGATACAAAGAGATGCCTCTCCAATATCTTTATATATAATGTCCTCAGATTGGAAGAATTATTAGTGTTGATAAAGTGACCATATTCCCCAAGGCAATCTACAGATTCAACATAATTAATACCAAAATACCAGTGGCATTTTTCACAAAAGTAGAACAAACAATTCATTTGTATGGAAACACAAAAGAGTCCAAATAACAAACATAATCTTGAGAAAGAACTAAGCCAGAGGCATCATTCTTCCTGATTTCAAACTATATTACAAAACACAGTAATCAAAACAGTACAGAACAAAAACAGACAAAACTTACAAACATACAACATACAAAAATATACAAAAACAGACACATAAGTCAGTGGAACATAGAAAATAGCCCAGAAAAAAAATTACACTTATGTGGCAATTAATCTACAAGAGGAAGAGCAAGAATATGCAATGTGGAGAAGTATACCCTCTTTAATAAGTTGTATTGGGAAAACTGGACAGCTACTTGCAAAAGAATGAAGCTGGACTATTTTCTTATACCATATATAAATTCAAAATGGATTGAAGACTTACATGTAAGACCCAAACCATAAAACTTCTAGGAAAAAAAATGTAGGCAGGATGCTCTTTGACATCAGTCTTAGCAATATTCTGGGGATATGTATTCTCAGGTAAAGAAAACAAAACCAAAGATAAGCAAATGAGACTACATCAAACTTAAAAAGCTTTTGCACAGTGAGGGAAACTATCAACAAAATTAAAAGCCACATACCGAATGAGAGAGGATACTTGCAAACAAAATACTCACTAAGGGCTTAACATCTAAAACATACAAAGAACTCATAAGACTCAACATCAAAAAAGAAGAAAAGAAACAATCCAATTAAAAATAGGTAAAAAACCTGAATAGACTTTTTTTCAAAGAAGTATGCAGATGGCCAACAGGCACATGAAAAGATGCTCAGTATCACTAATCATCAGGGAAATGCAAATTGAAGCCATGAGCTATCACTTTACACCTGTTGTAATAACAAGTATAGGCAAGGACGTACAGAAAAGGGACCCCTTACACATTTTTTGTGAGAATGTAAATTGGTATAGCCCCTATGAAAAACAGTAGGTGGTTCCTCAAAAAATTAAAAATAGAACTACCATATGATCCAGCAATTCCACTTCTGGGATTTTAGCCAAAGAAAACAAAAACATTGGTTTAAAAAGATATATGTGAGAATTCCCTGGTGTCCAGTGGTTAGGACTTCACTCTTTCACTGCTGAGGGCATGGGTTCAGTCCCTGGTTCAGGAAGTAAAATCCCAAAAGCCGCAGTGCAGCCAAAAAAAAATTTTTTTTAATTTAAAAAATTTTTAAAAATGAAAAGATATAGGCATCCCTATGTTCATCACAGCATTATTTATAATAGCAAAGATTTTAAAGTAGTCTAAGTGTTTCATCAATAAATGAGTGAATAAAGAAGATATGGTACACACATACATACAACACAAACACAATGGAATATTACTCAGCCATAAAAAAGTTAATTAAATCTTGCCACTATAACAACGTTGATAGACCTAGAAAGAATATGCTAAATAAGATAAGTCAAACAGAGTAAGGTAAATATCACATGATTTCACTTATATATGGAATCTAAAAAATAAAGTATAATTGGTAAAGGATCAACTTTTTAATACAGGATGATAGCCCAGTGGTTACCATTGTTTAAAAAAATAGATTCAACCTCCTGTTAGCCATAAAAATAAATTGCAGATAATATAAAGATTTAAATGTTAAGTAAGAGTATTTACTATTTTAAAAAGAAAATATGGGGACTATGTAACACTTTTGTTGGAATAATTTCTTGACAAAGCACAAACCAACATACCATGGCACAGAATAGGTGCTCAAATGTCTAAGTAAAAAATTAAAAGATGAATCATATGTTCATGTTATAGGTCTTAAAATACTTTAGGATTAAAATGTCATTTTCAAAGTTAAAGGAAAAGCCAAAGTCAACAGAAGATATTTTTAATAAACCTAAGCAGTACAATAAAACAAGCAACTAAAAATCGTCAAAGGGTTTAAGCAATTCACAGACGTTGAAAGCCAAATGGGTTAATAACTGCTTTTTTAAGTGTTTTATTGAGTAATCATAAAAGTATAAATTGAAACCAATGAGATATACTGAATACTATTCAGATTCAAAAGACATTTCAACAGTGACAACATCAAATGCTATCTACAATATGGAGAAATGAAAACTCAAACTACTGAGGAGAATGTAAGTGATCAGCCACTTCAGAGACCTAACTGTACAGTTCTGTTCCCTATGGGACCTCATAGAGAACTGACCTCAGTTATGAGATCTCAGTTGCTGGCCTCTAGATTGTACTTCAGCCAGTTTTCACTTGTTAATCAGCATTAAGTCTAAAGAAGCAGTCACCTTATTATTTCCTAAATATTCTTACAGATGAAATCGTTGGCAAAGCAAGTGAAGAATTTAACACACATTCTGCTTTTAGTAAAATTAGAATTCCAGCAGAAGTCCAGAGACTTGAAATTTCTAATCATTATTATATTTCACATCTTTACAACATTTGTGGTTTTAATTGGGAAGTAATTATCTACATCACTTGCTGCTTATTCCAAGGCAAGAAAGGATTGACCTTATGTGTATCCTCAGTTCAGTCCAGTCGCTCAGTTGTGTCTGACTCTTTGTGACCCCATGGACTGCAGCACGCCAGGCCTCCCCATCCATCACCAACTCCCAGAGTTTACTCAAACTCATGCCCATTGAGTCGGTGATGCCATCCAACCATCTCACTCTCTGTCATCCCCTTTTCCTGTGTATCCTGAATTACAGTTTTGAGACAATTATTCATCTAGAAATAACTCTTAAGCAATATGCTTCTCTTTGGATTTTAAAAAACTCCTGAATTCCAGGCAAGACACTATTTCTTGGCTTTTTTCAAACTCATGCCTTCTTTTGATAAAAGAGGAAAAAAAGCATTCTTTTCATATGATTTGAGATGTCAAATTAAATAATGACTACAAATAAATCAGATCTGTTGGACAAAACACTGCTTTGATTTCCAACTATTATCTTTCACAAAATTCTAAGATGGTCTCTCAGGAACTGTTACAAGAACCATGCATTAAATAAAGAATGAAGTGCTTAGTAAAGACTAAACTATGACCTTAGAATGAGTCATTTTATGTTTTTAAAATATATATTTAATATGTTTCCATATATATGAAAGTCTGAAGCATTACACATAATTTTTTATAGCTAATTTAATGAAAGACAGTTATCATACCTGTGGACACAATGTTTCCAGGTGATTGGCAGCAACTCTGACAATCTTAATCCCATCTTCATTTGTTGACATGGAACAAGCAAGATTTGCCACCTTAAATACAAAATAATGGAAATCATCTCAGATTATCAAGGAAATGCAGAAACATCTGTTATCACAGACAAGAGCATTTAAGTGTTCACTGGAAATTTCAGTGACAACAGCGTTTTCATAAATGTCACTGGTATCTACTTTATGGAAGCATTCATAGATTCTATTAAATAACAACAAAGGGCCATAAGGTAGCGTTTAAAGCCAAAAGGAAGACTGGTGAACGAATTTGCAATCCCTGTTCAGTCTCTTGGTATCAATATCTAACCCATAATAAGATGCTGTTATGGTTTCTTAAGGGCTTCCCTGGTGGCTAAGAGGTTAAAATCTTCTGCTTCCAATGTGGGAGACCTGGGTTCGATCCCTGGGTCAGGAAGCTCCCCTGGAGAAGGAAATGGCAACTCACTCCAGTATTCTTGCCTGGAGAATCCCATGGACGGAGGAGCCTGGCAGACCACAGTCCATGGGGTCGCAAAGAGTTGACACAACTGAGCAACTTCACTTTCACTTTTCATGGTTTCTTATGAGACTGAAAAAAAGTTCATCTATGGATTGAATGCTAAAAAATTCTTGAACTCTTATATGATTGTAGTTTAAGTTTGTAATTGGTTTATTATTTTCCAGAAGTCTATTATGCATTCTTAAGTTGCATTAAGCATGACTGTATCTTTGTTCATGTTTTATTCAGCATCAAGTATGCTACAAAGCTGGGCAAATACAAGATAATTGAATTTTTCTTCCTGTTCTTGATTTTCTACTACAACTTCATAGGCACTATTTGACATTCCAGCAGTCAATTTGATTCATGTCCTTAGTAATATCCATATTTTTTTATACATTATTATTTTGAAACACATTGTTTTCCAGGGATATAAGTGCCCTTTTAAATAACTGCCTTCATGGTGATGACCTAAGTCCAGCGTTCATAAAGATTTTCTTTATACCACGAATAAGTCATGAGAAAGATTGTGGAATTCCTTGCTTTTCCTTTGAACTTCAGCCTTATTCAACATTTCTCTTGCTAGCAGGTGAGTGTTCATGTACAGAGGCAATGTTTTCTTAGATCTACAAAATATATCATTGCCTCCATCACTGCAAAGAGATCGCTTTCCTAACAATCATTTTCCTCATGTCTCAGTTACTATATACTTTAACACAAGGCAGTTTTTACTGATCAAATCCAAAATCCAATCAGTTACAGAGAAACTTCACTTAAACTGCATGTGTTGGAAGTGAACAACAAACATATTTTTGGATGACTCTCTGTAGAATACCAAAAACTGTTACTTACATGGATTTACAGCCTTTGCTTTTTTTTTAATAGCATTACTTTAAATATGTTGGCAGTGAAACAATTCCTTGGTTTGCATTTACATATAATGAAATAACAGCCATACATTATTTAACTGTGGAATGGCATTGATCACTTTATTAATGTACATGGAAATGGTTTACTTGAAAAGGTCTTTTGTTAGCTTGAAGGTCACAATGCCTCAAATTTCATATCAGCCAAATAATTAGCACATTTGTGAATTATTTGAAAAGGGTAGTTGTTTCTGTACCCCACTCCCTTCTTAAAACCCCACTCACAGAAAGTAAAATTTAGCAGTCTAATTCTTTTAATAAATTTTATAATAATTTGTACTGTACCTGCAGAAAATAGCTGACTGTAAATTTGAACACTGTTTTAAGTAGAAATTTAAAATTATTGGTTCAATCTTTTGGTCAAATAGATGAATGTTGGTTAAACCAAGGTTTAAAAATTACAGAAAGATACTTTATATAGACACTTTTGAAATTTCTTTAATTTTATATTGGAATATAGTTGATTAAAAATTTTATGTCAGTTTTAGGTATACAGTAAAGGGATTCAGTTATACATGTATCTATTATTTTTCAAATAATTTTCTCATTTAGGTTATTACAGGACATTAGAGATACCAAGGGAACATTTCATGAAAAGATGGGGTCAATAAAGGACAGAAATGGTATGGACCTAACAGAAGCAGAAGATATTAAGAGGTGGCAAGAATACACAGAAGAACTGTGCAAAAAAGATCTTCACGACCCAGATAATCACGATGGTGTGATCACTCACCTAGAGACAGACATCCTGGAATGTGAAGTCAAGTGGGCCTTAGGAAGCATCACGACGAACAAAGCTAGTGGAGGTGATGGAAATCCAGTTGAGCTATTTCAAATCCTAAAAGATGATGCTGTGAAAGTGCTGCACTAAATATGTTGGCAAATTTGGAAAACTCAGCAGTGGCCACAGGACTGGAAAAGGTCAGTTTTCATTCCAATCCC